TTCCTGTGCAATTTTTTGCATTTGTAAAAAATGTTGATAATCAAATCAAATTCATTAATCGTATCGAACAATAAGCTGTTTATTCTCAGAAATCTTTCATCTTTCGAACACTTAGCGATTGTAAGCGTATTTCGAAAAAAAAGATTGTTCATAAAGATTTGAAGAATTTTGCGATACGTAATTTATCGGTTGGCATATACAACAATTCGGTACAGTCGTTATTATAAAGAGCAGTATTTTTTGTGCATTTTTCTCAATTTGATATAAAAACGAAATTAATTAATCTTACTAGATAGGCATTGAAGTATGTGTTTTTTTCTCTGCCGGAAATGTGCAATCATCTTTCATCCTTCAGCCTGTGTATTATGAAAACTTATGTAGTAATTATTTTTTAATTATAGATCTGTAGAGGTTATAGATCGTATATTTAAGCTAGTTAGTCACATTTACGAGACGGTGAAAGTCCTAGAGGATTATAAACAGAACGTAGTAATAACATTACTTAAAAAGAGGGGTGCGGACAGGTACGAGATATATAGAACAATTACCTTAACTTCCCATGCGTCAAAAATCTTAACTAGAATTGTGTAGAGGAGGATGATAAAATGGGCGGAAGAAGTATTAGGGGATGATCAATTTGGGTTTAGAAGGAATAGACAAATGTGGGAGGCCGTTTTAGCTTTATGGATAAACAATAAAGAAAACTATAGAAAAAAGAAAGAGTGCGTACATGGGATTTGTAGATTTAGAAAAAGCTTTTGACAATGTTAAATGGGACAAGATGTTAAATATACTTAAAAAGAGTGATACTTTGTTTGTATAAAGAACAACAGGCCGTTATAGAGCTAGGGCTGCAGCGTAGAGAAGTAAATATTAGGAAGGGAGTCAGACAGGGATGCACACTGTCACCGCTATTTTTTAATCTATATCTCGAAGACGCCATCAACATTATTAAAGACAGTACAACTGTAGGGATTGATATACAGGGGTAAAAGATTAATATGCTTAGATTTGCAGATGATATAGCAGTATTAGCATCTAGCAAGGAGGACCTAGAGATAGCTTTAAATAAAATGGAGGCGGTACTGACAGATCAGTACTGTATGAAAATAAATAAAAGTAAAACTAAAATACTGGTATGCAAGGGAAGAAAAAGTAGGGAAAGAGCGAATATAAAGATAGGAGACGAAAAATTAGAA